TTTTTTGCCAACCCCTAGGGTCGGTCAATAAATGCGCCGGTCAATCGAGGTTAGTTTTGACCACCTCTTCCTGGACTTCTTTGCAAACCGGCACCGGCCCCCGTGTTCTATTGCCCAAGGCAGGAGTCTGCCAAATTTGAAGCGCCTAACCTGCATTTTGCTTGATATATATATATATATATATATATATATATATATATATATATAAATTATGTATATATACATATATATATATATATATATATATATATATATATATATATATATATATATATATATATATATATATATATATATATATGATATATATATATATGATATATATATATATATATATATATATATATATATATATATATATATATATATATATATATATATATATATATATTACGAGGGGATCATGCTGGACACAACGTACGCGCGCCGACCCGCCCCCTCCCTCGCTCTCCAGGCATGCGGAGAGGACCGTATCGCTATCACCCCCCCCCCCCCTCACCAGTCTCGTGTGCTGTGGTGTACTCGGAATGTTTACAATCGATGAGTCGGGTCGAATTAGAGGGGCAGATAATTTAGTTTTTAAACGATTTGAATCTAATGGGAGGTAACAAGTACTGTTTGAACTTTTTATTGTCATTTTTAAACTGTCGTGACGGACGGCTGTTTTTCTGGAAGTAGTTGGGGGTGGAGGCGGAAAGGAAGGCCGAGGATAATCTCTTTTACGAGCTACAGATAGTGATTTCAAGCAAAACTGTTCTCAGTCGCAGTAGTGTCGAATTGACAAGTTATGGATTTATGAAAAGTAGAAAATAAAACAAATATAACAAAACCTTATCTATCTTCTATTTATCTTATCTACATCTATAATTCTCTACACCACTCAACTCTAACCCTCCTGCCGCCCCCTCCCTCGCTCTCCAGGCATGCGCAACTATGTGTAACGCAGCAGTGTGTACCTCAGTCGCTCCTGTGTCCTCAGTTGCTTTGGTAAGTCCTACACACGTCTGAGCCACGATTGTCCCCGAAGCTTTGTTTTGATTTTGCCCCTTTGTTTCCTTACCATGACCGCCGCTTTACATGTATTTCCATGTAGTCGAAATTCCTTCATCGGGTAACTGTTTATTTCTATCAGTGGCATATTCCTGGAAAAATGTCATCGACAAAACTTTAGACCTCTCCAACTTCGCAAGATGGCTATAATGTTTGTGTGTGACAATTGGGATAATTATGGCGACGCCCTGTCCTTTGTTCTTACTCACGGGAGCAGGGTCAGACACTCTGCTGGACAATACAATTCCTACATGAATACTTTATGGTCGCGAGGGCTGAAATAGGTGCGATGTCTCAAACACTTCCCGTTACTGACACTATTCACTTCCGAAAACGTCCACATGACCCTCCTCGAGTTTACAATCCGGGTCAACGTCCCTCCATATCCCTGCTATTTAGCGGTCCTTTGGATCATGGCCATTACGAATTTCTCTTGCCTTTCACAAACACACGTGATGACCTTCTGGTGCCATCTGTTGACAATGTCGACATGTGCACCAACATTACGCACCCATGTGATCTCCACACTGATGTGACGCCACTCTCCTGTTACTGGTGGACACTTACAAACGCCGGATTATCATTGCTCAAAACAGTTCACAAAGAAAATAAAATCTCAAAACAGATAAAACAAAACACTCCAGTGAACAAACGCATTCTACAGAGGATTTTAAATGCAACTTTTGTTCCAAAACCTTCTGACTCCAGCGATATCTCAACGCTCAATTAAAAACACGCAGCACTCAACGAACGATAAAATGTGAACATTGTCAGCAGTGCTTCAAAACAACTCGCACTCTCTAGTAACACTTACAAGCTAAAAGTGTACATGTAGAAACACATTTAACAACATTTCTTTGCAGCATCTGCGTTAGGGTTTGGGTTAGGGTTAGGGTTAATGTTAAAATTAGCATTGACTTCATCGTCACAGACGATCCCGCAGATGAGCTTTTATTCCCCGTAGACTTTTTTGGCAGTCCTTCCCCTAATGGCATGCCTCCGCATAAACTCAAAATTAAAATGGGTTCAGTGGTCATGCTTCTAAGAAACCTCATGCCAGCAAGAGGTCTCTGTAATGGCACTAGACTGACTGTTACCAGCATTCACCGCAACGTACTGGAGTGTAAGACTATCGCAGCTGCTACCTCACAAACTGTCCTTATTCCCGGATATTCCTGACTCAATCAGATTCAAATTTGCTTTTCAATTTTACGCGAAGACAATTCCCTGTTAGATTAGCCATTGTAATGACAGTTAATAAAGCACAGGGCTAAACATTCATAAAGATATGCCTGTATCTTCCAAAACCTGTTTTCAATCATAGATAGCTGTATGTTGTTCTCTCCAGAGTTCCTACTTTTCATTCACCCGCAGTCGTTTGCTCAAACCCACCATATAGTGAAATCCTCGATCACAAAATAGCGGCGTATGTTACGCCGCGGCTCGACAAGTCCCTTTTAATAGCATATACCATCTTTAATCACACCAGTTTCCATTATCCTTATTACTATCTACATATTTTATCCTAGCCCTTATCATATGCCTAATTTAACTTCTATATTTATAACGAAATCGATCACAGTCCCTATCCCTTAAACACCCAAAGTCTATAACTAATAATATCCTTAATAATAATCACTAATCCTCGCATTATACGTTGAGCTTTACATACTATCCCTATAAAATATCTAAAGCTAATCCTGCTCCACCCTAATTATACAATATATTACCTTTTATTCAATGCTTATACGTAATTCTACCTTTAAAACTATCTCTATCTATAATTCACAATGTATCAAAAACGTATTATTGTAATAAGTATACTCAAACACGACCATTGAACTATCCCTTAACCTAACACTATCAATTACTTACATGTCCTTGTTTCTATTGAACTTTATATAAACGCACATGTACATTTACAGGTAAACGTACACATACACGTATACGTATACGTACACACACACGTACACGCACACGTACATGTACACTTTTAAAGAACGACGCCAGATTTTCGCTGCTTATATATCACTGTGTTCAACGAAACCAGTAATACAGAGTAAAGTTTACATAGGATGTGTTAAAGATTAAGAATGTAAAACGTTATTTTAAAAAAAATCTATTTTGCTAGCTTTTACAACATGCTCCTTGCATAACCCACGCATTGCAATTCTAATTGAATCTTGACAAATAGAAATTAATTCATTCGAGTAACTAATATTTTTTTATCTATTAAGTGCTACGTAATTAAGTTAGATCATGAAATAGCGCCCAGCAGTGTCAAAAACAACGACGGTGAACAAATTGATCCACCCAACAAGACTGTCTGGATCTAGCGTTAGATTAGCGTAGATTAACCTGCATTTTGTATCCGTTTTCTCATTGGAAAGTCTAAATCTACCTTGACATGTTTCCACAATCTGTTATGCAAATAATCACCCCCCCCCCCCACACACACACACTAACTTCCCCTTTCTAACCCGCCTAGGGAACGGGAAGCTATTTAACCTTTAAGTCTTATAGGGATCTTATCGCAGAGATTTAAATTACAAAAAAAAAAAGAAAACAGTATACGAAGATAAAGCTAACCCACACACATGCATGATGGCTGTTAACCCGAAGATAATACACTAGAAATGAATATATGCATTACAAAATTGTATTGTATTTCCCTGTTGGTATTGTGTTGAATGGGAATGTAAAGTTGTCAAAAAATAGCAACTCGACCGGCGTGGTCGAGTCGGTAAAGCTCATGGTTGCTAAACTGAAAATTCTCGAGTTCGAACCCTCGGGCATATGAGGCTCGTTAGCTGGGGACAGCCACTTCTCTAGGAGAGACAACTCCAAAATCAAACAACTGCTGCCTTGTAGTTTGTTCTTGGTTGTAAGCAAATCCAAAAAAAAAAAAAAGCAGGCTGAAATCGGAGTCAATGGCCTCAATGGCGCATAACCAGTTGACACGTAATCCTTAATTGTGATGGAAGCATGGTCGATTCGGCAAAGCTCATGGTTGATAAATTCAAAAAAAGTCTCAAACCCTCTGGCAAATAAGGCTCGATCCCTCCCAACAATAAAAATTAAGAACAAAGAAGAAGAAGCAACTCGATAACAAAGACAAAAAAAAATGTGTGTGCAACAATAGAGAAAAAAAAGTTCGTAAAAAATCCTTTTTAACCAAGTGACCCTCATTTCACCTTTCAGTTATATAAAATGTGCTGCAATCTAAAAATTTAGGACAGCTTGTATAGCGGCGTAGCTACGTTAAATCTAACCTAAACTAGGCATAGGCGACCAAGGAACAAAGGGAACCTATTTACTCTTTGGAAAAATGAAAACTTTTTACAGTGGAAATGTTATGTTTGTTTTATATAAATAATTTAATAAAATGACGGAAATCCAGTTAGTTTTCTACAGTAGAACATATTTAAAAATCATTAAAAGGCCTCACGTACTTTCATAGTGTTTAAACATTGGCACATAGAGCGGGTGGGGGCCCAGTTTTGGGCTCAGTCCCAAAGGCTGTGACTTAACTGACACTTTAATTACAGACTGGAACTTTGCATTTCATTAGATGGCGGGCCTGTCCTGTAATGTGAAACTTTAACTTAAACTCTTATGTGGGATATGGCATCCGGCACCTTTAGATTAGCACGCATTGTTACAAACCTCAACTGATTGGGAAATTCCATACCCAACCCAGACATACCTACACCCCTTGCACCCAAAAGTCTACCCTCCACGAAATTGCAATAGTACTAAATCCATGATTACAATAGACTCATTTTGTTTAGATAACAGACATGCCCTGCGTTTTTACGCTAAGCTAAGTCCACAATCTGGCATTGTTTTTCTAATCGTTTTAACCTTACTTCCATTTGGTTTATTGATCTATTTTATCTTTAATCGTGGCGCTACTAACACTATGCGATTTTTGTCTTTCTGTCTTTCGTGAATTAATGCATAATTCATCTATTTTGGTGGTCGTTGAGAATACTCCGGGCAAAGATTTTTTTCCAGAAGTTTTTTCTGAAAGAAGCTCTGATTCATTGAACGTTTTGTGCTTTTTATTTTCTATTTCCGAGGGCGACCCCAGACTGTAGTTCGGTGCAGTTGCCACCAAGAGTTTACCCAGGCGCTATCTTAGCACCGTCAATCCGTTGATTGGACATCCTACACAGAACGTCAATTTTACTACTTGATTCAGCGGTCAAGCTGTATAGGCGCATCAGCTGGCTCGGCGGAGTTCGTGTGAACTTGTGAACCCTGAGCCTCATGTTGAGTAGACTACAGAACATATATTTGTTTTCATGAGCGCCATACATCTGGATATGTTATACGCTTTTCTATTATTTAAATAATAGTATATTATTATTTTTTTACAAAAAGCATTTATTTTCTCGTATTTTAGTGCATTATTTAAAAAAGCTTGTTATTAAAACGTTTTTTGTGCTTAGTTTCAAGTACATTTTTATTTTTATAAAGGATAATAAAGTCGATCTCGTTCTTTGCACTTTACGTTACTTAAGACTTTCAGTTACAAAATGAACGTGGCGCTTAGTCGCACACATGCCAAGGCACCGGAGGACACGCCGATTCTATTTAGTTAACGATTATAGTAGCCACCATAACCTCTCTCTAGTACAATACCTCAAAGACTCCTCGAACCTTCTCAGCAACAACAATATGGCACTAAAACATCACATAATAGCTTACCGCGCAATATTTTTTTAGGATATTACTATTCTAAATGAAGTACATTAGAAGGTTTAAGAGATCACCCACGCTGTATTAAAAGTTACATAATAAACACAATGAAAAGTATACATTAAATAAATTATATGATTTTTTTCTTCTATTTTTAGATGAAACTAAAAATAAAGATAGTAAGCACGCTCTTTGGAATAGCCTTAATCTTTATTTTGTTCATAAAAGACAATAGCATAGCGGGTAAGTTTTTTAGTATGAGTGTTAAATTAGTACAACGACAACCTATTAAAATAGGTTTTTATAAACAAGAACAGACTGCCTATAAAATTTAACTCACAATATGAAGTAAAAATGTTGAGGTTGACGTGGTCGTTTTTGTGAAGCTCATGTTTGCTAAACTAAAAAGTCCAGAGTTCGAATGCCCAGTTAAATGGGGCTCGATAGCTGCGAGAACCAAAAATCTATCTAATATTGAAAACTCCAAAATCAAACAACAGCTGTTATGCAGATTGTTCTTGAATGTAAAATGGCTATGGAAGAATATGCAAAATGAAAAGCAGGCTGAAATCGGAGTCAATGAATACATTATGTTGACATCTTTTCATTCAAAATCGTTCTTGTTTTGAGTGAAAGCTTGTGCTCTTCTAATGATGGTTCTGCTTCAAATGTTTGCTTGTATTCACTGAAAATTTATGTATAAAACTAAACATGTATTAGAAGAAAGATATGAAGCTGTTTTAAAAGTTGTATTTTTTTAACAGATAAAATAAGTTTTAATGGACCATGGGGCGTGATCAGGGTACGTTTGATAATTCCTTTTTAACAAAAGAAGTAGTACGTTAAACAAATAGCTTACTTGATTACCCTCTATTACCCTCTCCCCCCTCTCTCTCTCTCTCTCTTTCTCTCTCATACTATACATTTTAACATCAATTAAGACAATAAAACTCTCACTATCTTTAAAATTCCGCTAAGAGTAATCAACATCTGTCGTATATGCCTACTATCCGAGTCCTTAAAAAAGTGTACATTTTTACAAGCTTTTATTTTACATGCATACATATAAACACAGAAACAGAATGATGGACAGATGGGTAGAGTATTTTAACACAAATAGCAAAAAAAAAAAAAAAAAAAAACAACAACAATGTAAATTATTTTAAAACACCAAACAATAAATACGTCAAATGAAACATATATACAGGCCCCAATCATACTCCTTACAATATTCTAATTATTCTTAACTTTTTTTAGATTTCGATCCAGTCAAAATTTATTGCTAATCCTAAATAGTACAAACCAAAATAATGAAAGAGTAAGTTATAATATTTTATTAATTTAAAAGTTTCAAGGGCTTGAAAGCATTTTATCCTAAACCTTTCTTGACCTTGTTTTCTATCTAGGTATATATCAACAGTGTTGTAAACCCAGAGGGGAAGCAATTAAGTGCGGCTTCAAATACTACAGCCCAAAATAATAAAACAGTAAGTTATACAACGTTTATTAATTTAAAAATTTTATAATTTGAGAGTACAACGAAGTCACCGCGAGTCAAGTGAGGCACCACAACGGAAACGTTAATTGTAAAACAAAATAGGTGAACTAGAAACGTTTTAATATGTTTACAATAGAAACAATATTATCGTCTCTAAACAGAACATAAGTATAGTTCACTTCCAAACATTATGCTCATGGGGCAAGTAAAGTAGAATTCACTTGTTTCTGTGACCTCGGCATTTGAAAGGATAGTGTGGTCAGCACTTTGCATCAGATCAAGGTAGACTCAGCGACGGTCTAGTATCTTGATCCAGGATTTGAATTCGAGACTTGCGGGTTTGCAGTCACTCCGTCCAGTAGAAAAGTGATACTGGTCACAAAATTGGTCGATGATGTAATTTCTAATGGATAGCTCTTTTTGAAAAACAAAGTATAGTACAGTAATTATATAAATGTGTCATGGGGTTAGAACCTTCACAAAGTCTACAAAATCATAATAAGTTGATCTGTTTGTGGTTTTGTTAAGAAAACTTCAAATAATTTAAGACGTTTTTAAAGAGAATTAGAACTATGAACTGAATAAAGGAAGATAAACGATAAAACTACTCTGATCCGCTCTAAGCTAAACGTTCCTCAACCTGTACTTTTAAATGGTAATTCTGGTACCTCGAGAGATATCTTGCTAATTAAACTCTGGTTCTTGATTAGTGGTACCTTTATAAGTCATACCATACAAGTCCTTTAATACGGCTTGCGGTTGTTAGCATTAAATGTAACTATTCACTTTTCAGTTCGTCGTTGACAAGATAGAAGACGATGTTCCCTCCATCACTATCGTCACTATGTTTCTTAATTTGGGGACTTTACAGAAGTGGTCAGGCACAAGGACACTAGATAGATACAAGCAATGGATGACAACATGGGGCTGGCTGAAAAATCCGGTCGTGGCGTTTTTCGAAGATGAGGAAATTTTACAATATTTTAAGTAGGTCAATGTCGGGTCTACGACAAATTCCCGAAAGACACTTTCCCGAATGCTGTTTGCCCCAAGGCAGATTTCCCGAATGGACACTTGCCTGAATGCGACAAATGCTAGAATTGACACTTGCCTGAATGCGACAAATGCTAGAATTGACACTTGCCTGAATGCAACAAATGCTAGAATTGACACTTGCCCGAATGCGACAAATGCCCGAATAGGCACTTGCCTGAATGCGACAAATGCTAGAATTGACACTTGCCCGAATGCGACAAATGACCGAATAGGCACTTGCCTGAATGCGACAAATGCCCGAAAGCCACTTGCCCGAAGGCCGTTTGTCCGAAAACTTTTAACATTATATTACCAAATAGTCATTTGTAATCAATTTAAATTTTAAATTTTGATAAACAATACATATCTAAACAAAAATAAAGGAAAAATAAATTATTTTCCATAATTAATATTATATATTATCACGTAGAAATTCTTAATTAATTTATATTTGCTATATAAAAGAAGTACAAACATTATCTTTTGTATCTATGAAATTAGACAAAAGTTTATCAAAAGTTTTTAAAATGAATCGCACTTTCTTTATTAAGTAATCACTTTAACACATTGTCTGAACATGGTGGATGAAATGGAGGTCAAACATGATTGACTAACTTTAGTTTTTAATTCGCCCCAAGACCACGCCTCATTCTTTTGTTAAAAGATCACCACACAAGTGAAGCATAACAAGATAAACAAACGTGCCTCTGTTCAGCGTAGCGAGACAACACCGTGTCAGAAACGCTATCTAACCACCGCAACACGTCGCCTAAACAAGGTGTTCAAAAACGTCCGGCTTCCGTCAAAGTCAATGTATAATTTCATGTTTAGTTAGACATATCTAAATTTCAGGAAAAACATTCTTCAACATATAATCTATCATATAAACCGCAAGGTAGTGTCATTCCTTCCATCCGTCATCGCTAGGGAATCTATAAACTTAAAAATAAACAACACATGCCATGCATTGCTTGCATGGCATTGTCTTATTGCATACAATGCTCTAATGTTATATACTGCTTTTAACATGTTGGTTGTTGGCAAAGTTTCGGCTCTTTTGGGATATGTCAAAAAAGTACATGTAGAAAGGTCCATCGATGTTCATGGCACCTGCAAGGGCTCTTCTTGTATCAGTTACCAACAAACGCTTGTCTCAATATCTTATCTTAAACATCTTAACACGTTGAGTTAGCAATATAAGATGAGTGAGTGTGTACGTGTGTATGTGAGTGTCTGTGTGTGTATGTGTGTGTATGTGTGCGTATGTTTGTGTTAAAATTCTGCATCTATATTCATAAGTGCAACCATAATTTACCCTATCCACCACGCAGGCAAATCCGCACCCAGCAACCCGCACACAGAACTGTGATTGTGAAAATCTCCAGGTCTCAGCTGGGCGCCTTCAAAAACCTAGAGAGGATCCAACAAGTTTACAAGAACAGCTCCTACTCCAAACTATCGCCCACCATGATCAACGCTAACTACAGCTGCACCATGAGTGCTAAATACGACGCCCTGATCTTCGCAATGGACCACAAACTGATACGGACAAAGTATCTGGCATGGATGGACATTGGTCTGTTTAGGTAAGGGGTTAGACCTGCTTGGTTATGGGCCATTTTTAATCTTTGTATAATCTGTTTTGGTACGACTTGTTCTTTTCAGCTTTGCATACTTAAGCATAACTATGGTCTGTTATATATATATATTTATATATATATATATATATATATATATATATATATATATATATATATATATATATATATATATATATATATATATATATATATATATGTTACGGTCAAAGCCCGAAGTGCGGCCAATGCGCGCATTGGCCGGCTCTCTTGGCCAAAGCCCGAAGAACTTAGCACTAAGATCGTATTTCGCACATTGGCCGGCCAATGCGCGCGCTGGTCGGGACGTACTGGCCAAAGTCCGTAGCGCTTAAACTTTAGAGCGTATTTTGTACATTCGCCGGCCAATGCGCGCACTGGCGGGATGTCCTGGCCAATGTTCTATCTAGACTAAGTTGTGATCGCGTTTTCATTATTCTTGGTGCGGTTTCATTGTAACGTATTGTTTAGCTCTTAATTGTATAGCATTCTATATGCAAGGCAACATGGATCAAAAGGGCCGTCAGACCATGAGACAGACATAGCAGATGGCTGTCAAACGAAAAAAATGTAAATCCATGTTATATGGGCTACAACTGTATGTGACAGCCTCCTCCTTGATGACAATCATCAAAGAACAAAATCAAAGACAGTCGGCGTCACCGACCACGTGCAACAAGACAGAACGTTCAATAGTGTCCAAGCGACTTGAGATGGCGTGGGCGTCAGAAACCATAATTCCCCAACAAAAAGGGGTTTACAAAATGAAACAGACCCATCACCGCGCCTTGACTGGACTGCATGATAAATACCGACAGAATTTCCTTGCATACCTGATTTCTTGAAAACATTGAACAAGAAATGGAGGTTGCCATAAATGCAACGACATCCTCAGCTAAAACATCTGTTGCCGTGGTGGAACGTCCAGAAAAGCTACGTAACAATAATGTGGCCAACAGATTCTCTATAGTTTGTGAAAAACATTGTAGTGCAGCTCATTCTTGTGGAACCTGTGGCAACGATGTCCATGCTGTTTGTGGAGTACCCAATGAAGCAGACGAAGGGTACGGAGGAAATATTACCTGCGGATTGTGTCACAACAAACAAGACATCATGGAACACAGGTCAGCAGCTCATACTAGCTTGCAAACTCAAGGTGCTAAGATGCTTAAAACATCAAATACAAAATTTAAATATGCTGAAGTGAGTGACAATGTACGCATCCGTGTTCCAGATGTTGACAGAGGTCGCGGTGATCCCCGAAGCGTGATTGCAGTTGTCATGAGCGTCGAGGGCGGTTTCTACAAATTAGGAACGGCACATGGTGTTCTAAAACAACTGTATGTTAAAAGTGAGTTTTCAATTTTTCACGAAAAACTGCTCTTATTGTCGTCAGTTGGCACTGAGGAAAAATCACAACGAACCATCGCATCTTTACAATCATTGACTGGGGGCCAAGGTTACACTCGCTGCAATTGCACAAACAACTGCACAACAAATCACTGCAAGTGTAAAAATAACAAGCTACTATGTAATTCTAAATGCCATAAAAGTTCAACTTGTTGTAACAAATGATAATATTGATTGATTGAGACTATAGTACAATAACATATTTCAACGTTTCTGTCATTTACTTTAATTAATAATCAATAAAGACTTACTTTCATAATCCTTACGGCATAAAAAAAGCCAAAATCTGCTCATGATCTTCTAATTCGGACTTTGGCCAGTCGTCCCTAGCCAGATGATCTTCTAATTGGGACTTTGGCCGGTCCACCATGGCCAGTCCGCGGATTGGCCGGTCATGGGCCAAAATTAGCAAAGTTTCGGACTTTGACCGACCAATGTGAGACGATATTGGCCGATGCGCGCATTGGCCGCATTCGGGCTTTGTCCATAACATATATATATATATATATATATATATATATATATATATATATATATATATATATATATATATATATATACATACATATACATATATATATATATATATATATATATATATATATATATATATATATATATATATATATATATACGTTGATTTGTTATGGTATTGTATTGTTAAAATAATAAGTATACAGGGCAGGTTAGGTATAAACATGAAACTAGATTGCTCATTAGGTGAGGAATATTGTTATAAACTTGTACAATATACGTATTGAGTATCAGGGCAGTGTAGATTTCTTTTGAAACATATGTGGACACAGAGTTGTTGTTTTTATTATGAAATATAAATGTTAATCATGCGCTTTGACGTAGCCAACAATATTCAACAAAGCCTCAAGTGCTTATTATTATGATAATTGGGGGTGCTTATTTAAAATTTAGCATGACAATATGATTATCATAATCATACACCTTGTGGAGCATAGCAACCCAATATAACTTCTACTTGGAACTACGATTCGTGCGATTCCTCTATTTTGCGCCCATGATATTTCGTCTGTTTCTGCATCTCTGGCAAATGATCTTTTACATGCTTGATTTGGTTTAGATGCTTTCCTCTTTCTTTGGGGATTCTAAACTTGTGATGTTGCTTGTTGTATGCAAATGTGTGCAATCCATCCTCTTTTGCAGTTTGTACTACTTTGAAAACATAGATTTGCGATGTTATTCTCTACAGACTGGAATCGGTAATTTTTCAGGCCAACTGTGTAATATGTGACGAAGGAGATGGTTAATGAAAGCCTGAATCATAGTTAGTTTACACAAATGTTATCGTTTTAAAATGTGACAACTTTAGCGTAGCAGGACAAGAGTACAAAAATACCGCTTTTTAAAAAAAACTAAGTTAAATTAAGCTGATAGCAGTTTTGTTACAAACAGTACATTACATTTTACAAAAGAAAACTTTATGAAAACATAGAAACCTCATAGAAGACAGTATGGGGCAGAAGAACAAGAACTTCACATTGGAGATACCTCCAGATTTCAACAACAGTAGAATTGGTTTTACTGAGGTGGCTCCCAGACATAAAATGGAGAGACTGAGCCCATGGGACTACATCAAAAATAGCTACGTGTGGTTAGCTGGTGGTTACGTTATGGGTACACAACAAGTAGGTGCTGGTAACTTTAAATGTACGTTTGATTGAAGACGCTTGAGCGTATGCCTTTTGTCCTATCACACATATCATAAGAACGTTTGTCAATATTAAAAGCAATACTATCATATAACTAGCAGAAATCCTTAATGAATTTATGAATAGGCCTACATTTTTTGTGTTTAAATTGCCATTACTTAAAACAATGATAAATATACACAACATAACTGTGCTGATATTTTATTGATTTACATTTTATGTTAAAAATTGTAATGATAATTCATAAATCATTTATGAAAGTGGGGGTTGGTGTGGTCGAGTCGGTAAAGCTCATGAGGCTCGTTTGCTGGTGACAGACACTCTTCTAGGAGAGACAACTCCAAAATCAAACAACTGCTGCTTTGTACTTCGCTCTTGGTATGACAAAAGGCTATAGAAGCAATTCTAAACAGAAAAGCAGGCTGAAATCGGAGTCAATGGCCTCAATAATGAAAAACGAGTTGACACGTATACTGAACTGTGTTGGAACGGATCCCTTCCAACAATAAAATTAAGAACTGCCATGAAAGTATATAACATTCTCTTAATAGTAGATCGCTTGGTGTGATCATTTGCAAATGGTCTTTTCTATTCTTACTTCACAGTCAACCTTACCCTTCTTTACGTTTCGGTTATGATTGTAGGCCTACATACTGTACCTTGTTTGGTTCATTGCTTTCATTTCATAGATTGAAAAAGAAAAAATGTTGATTTTTAGATTTAATATCTTTCAATCGGTAAATCGGAAAAAAATGGTTACAATTTTCAAAAAGATTGTACGACATTTTTTTTGCCATTGTCCATTCGTGATTAAGGCGTTTAGCCATTTAGTGGATTTAGACAACCTTAAGTACAATGGTTGTTGCATACTTCTTTTCTTTTTTCATTCTCATTCAATCTTAGACTTACGTATCTCCTCCTATCTTCAGGTAATAAGAACGTTTGTCAAATCCTACAAATCTACAGTACAAGAGTTGCTCAAAGCCAACATGTCCAGTACAGACGAGCAGATCATCGGAGCGATGTACTCACCAGAGTTCCGGCACAAGCAGGAGTTGGACATACAAGGGTACTCGTGTGTTGATGGACAGTTTGGTCTTCACAACACCGACGCTCAGTACTTTTGTTTGAGTTATATTTGTAAGGACACAGCTGAAAAAGCAAAAAACAAAACTTCCATTTTGAAAGGAGGCACATGTGAGAACTAAAATAGATCGAGGGTTTTCCATTTCAAAAATAGGTCATGTTTTGTATTCAGATTAATTTATGTGTGTTAAGGTCAATAGCTTTTTAATTTATATAACTCTCTATTGCTAAGCCACGCAGTCCCAATAGCAACGTTTTGTTCCGATTAATTTTTTTTTATCATTGCATCGTCTTCAAGGAATACCGTATTTGGATAGTTAGAACGTCATCGCTTTACGAGAAATGAGTTTAAAAATAAGGTGCAAGATTTGTAACAATCCACAAACAAACCATGCAAACCAAATAATAACGTATGATTAGAATTCAAAATAGATATAGTTACAACTAGCTGCACACCCTTGCCTCGCACGGTGAATCTTTTTTTCAATGTAGGCCAACTAGGGAGCGGAACAAAACCAAACAAAATTTTAACACAAACAATATGCAACAATCAAATACAAACACAAAAGAAAAATAAACGCAAACTCAAACAAAAACGCAAACGCAACACAAACGCAAACACAACACAAACGCAAACACAAAAGCAAACGCAACGCACAAAAAACGCAAATGCAACACGCAAACACAAACACAAATACAACGAAAACGAAAGCTAAAACGCAAACGCAAAATCAAATACAAACACAAAAGAAAACATAAAAGAAAACACGCGCAACTTTAAACAAAAAAAAAAAAAACACGACGTAAACTATAACACAAATTAAAGGAAAATAATAACGCAAACAAACGCAAACGTAATCTCAAACAAAAAATGCAAACACAACACAAACACAAATGAAAACACAAACGTAAACGAAAACTCAAAAACGTATACTGAATCTGAATCACAAACGTTTTATCGAATTACGCTTTCCCGGATGTCCTCGCTCGGATAGAGCCTTTCCAATTTTCTCTAATTTAAACATCGCCTTAAATAACACAAAAACAAAACAAAAAATAGTGATTTTTAAGACATCATAGAAACAAAAACAAAACATGTAAAACAATATGTAAAACAATATGCCGACTAATCACAAAATAATATAAATAATCTGTATTAATATATTATAATCATGAGCCTTAATTTAATAATCAATGCGGCAGGATTTTTTTTAAAGAATTAATTTAATAACATTATTTAGAGAGAGTTCAATTTCTTTTTAAATTACCTTCCCTGGCATAGTTGTTAAACATTTTATTAAACATTTTTATTGATTAGTTTTACTAGACCCTAATGTTATAAAAATTTTCTCCGGCAAATAAGCGAAAATTGTAGTTGACATTGATCCGTTTAATATGTTTTAGCAATGTGCTTGTATTTAATATTTTTTTCACATTAGTTTGTTGAGTATGCAAAAGAATAAAATCTTTACCGAAAATAAAAAATAATTAAGGCGTCACATAAATAGACCCTGCTTAGTAATGTTATTGAGTCAATGCGATGCAAGTAAAATCAGGATATGTCTTGATGTTTACTTTTATGGTTCTAGAATCTATACAGGGGCGGAACTACAGTGCCGCCATACCCCGCAATAAGTTTTTTTTATAGTTAAAAAAAAATTCTAGTAAAAAAAAACAGATCTAATACAGTAGTGATGTTTTACAGTAGCTAACACATGCTGTTTCGTGAAGGAAAAAGATATATAGGCTACATGACATGTAGTGTGAAAGATAGGCAAACGTTCAAACCACTTCCATGAATAATTTCCCTTTTTGAAATAGTCAAATATGTGTGCCCTTATGTATTCTATGTTCTTATTTTTGTATATAGGGTCCTATTATATATATATATATATATATATATATATATATATATATATATATATATATATATATATATATATATATATATATATATATATATAAATGGGGCCAAACAATTTTTTGTGTGTGGGGTGGCTCTTTTTTTTAGTTCCGCAGCTGAATCAATAGCAATGAAATAATGACGGAATGCCAGAAGGAAGGACTTACACACTACTACTAGACTTATATTATAGATTCAGCAGTTATAAAAACTTGGTCTGTATAAAGTAAACAATAGTAACATGTATTAAATTAATCAGTGTAACTTTAGGTTTTTATGAAGTCCTTAAGTACAAACAAGCGTACGATTGTTCAGTTCGCTGTGTATTTGTCGTAACTCATCCGGACTGTATGGATGCCCTGAGATCCGCTCTCTAAACGAACATCCGGACACAGAATACTTGCTGTAAGAAAACAGTTCGCTGTCTAAGACCTCAACGCCAGCTTTCTTGGAACACATCCCCGTGATGTACACATCTTCCCACCGGAACAACGGCAACCTGAGGGACGCCTGGTACAACAGCCATGCCGCCTGTGTAGACATGACGTAGGCCCCACCTGATACATAATCCGGATAATTGTCCTCAGGAAATTCAGAAATAGATATGTACCACTTTGAATCGGTAGATCTGTTTGGGTTAGGTTTTGTGTGTTTTATTCCCATCACAAAAGCGTCGAGGTTAGGTTTTTTAGCTTGAAGTTGTTTCAAACTAGTAACTAAATACGGGACATTAATATACATATCATCGTCCGCTTTGAGAATATATTTTGCCCTCTTAAAACAGTGAATAGAAACATACTTGAGAATAGACACGGATTTGAGAGTGAGGTTGTTATAACAGTCCAAATAATCCTCCTGCAATATATCTCCGTACATAACAGATTCATAAAGAAATGATTTCTGGGTTAAACTCGCATTAGGCGCGCTATTGTTTCGTTGACCAATGAAGAAAATTAGAATCGAATTATGGGAGCTGACGTTAGCGTAACTGCCCCAGGTCTCTCGAATCGTCTGACGACTTGCAAAGTTGTCGAAGCGAGTGGAAACACAGATGATTATCTCTATTTCTTGCTGGTCTTTACATGTAACACTTGGAGAGATGACGTGTTTATAGTTATGTGGGTTAATGACTTTTTCAGCCAGGAATGGAAATTTGCTGAGCTCTTGTTCACTGTAGAGTGTTTTCGTGAAGTTCTTTGAGGCGGTGTAACGCCACTTTGTTCGGTTGTTTTTGTCTGATTCCGTCCATATTCGAAAGGTGTGATAGCTCTTGTTCCTGTAGCTTGCATTTATACGTATGTCAGCACGTGAGAATATAGGTAAGAAACTTATGTCAGATACAATGGTGTACAATACAGCAGTGGCCAAGGCAAAAGTTAAAATAAATCTGATCTTCACATATTTGGTTTTAGGCAGGGATCGAAACTCCATCGATATCAACCTAATAAGATTAGAAGAGAAGGATTAAAAAAACCATTAAAACTCGCAAATAATTGCCTAAACAATTAAGTCACATAATATACAGAATTTAAATACCACTTTTCAGATATCTATTTTATTTACTATTTTGTTTTTGTTCGTGAATACTTATGTTGACGTTTTGAAATTTTAATAAAAAAAATGTAATTTAATATGTAAAACTTAATATAAGTCTTGAGTGTTGCATTATATTTGTAAGTGTTCTTACCTTATTATCTTCCAGTGCATTGTTTTATTGCTCTAACTGAAGACTCAATTGAATATTTGTAGATTGTAAGGAGGCTGCTATTTAAATAAAATAGAATAAATTTAAAAAAAAAAATTAACAAATCAGTCCGCGGATAAAAAACAAGCGACTCCAGTTAAAAAATAATTGCATGGAAGATTATATTAAACATAGGACATCTGTTTAAACATATATACACAACTACCCTGTGATTGAAATAAAATATTAAAAATAAAATGTTGGATTTTATTGCAAGTACGAAAATATCTTTTTGTACCATCAACTTTAGAGTACACTAAAAAAAATGAAAGTGTAACAGGACATTGCACTAACAACCATTAAATAGTAATTAAATAAAATGTATAGGATCCAGAATTAAAATTAAAACGTATTAAAACTCGTAGGAATTGTATAAACAAGTACACAGTTGATATTCAATATAAACATTTTAACCGAAATACGACACGTTTTATCGATGTCTAGCACATTGTCCACCTCCATCCACTACATGACCGTTTGCCCAAGACCCACTGTAAATAACCAACAAGCCTAATTACCTCATTTTACGAAACACTATACCTATATCAATCGCGATCTTTCGTATAGGAAGCTCCCTATTTCTAAAGAAATTAACATATTATACGTCTCCTTAACCATCAAATCCTCACTATTCTTCTATTATCCTTATGGGACTGTAAAGCTCTTTGTTGTTAAACCAAAAAGAAACCTAGGCTGTTGAGGCTCAAGACTCTGGATACAAGCTAATCTGTAGGCCTATTCCTCATTTTAAAGCTGCTTTACATGAAATCGTAAGCCCGCGAATAACAAAAAAAAAAACAAGGTTTTCAATTTGAAAGAAATCGGTGTAATATATCGCACAGGGCATTTTTAAAACACTACTGCATCGAGTTACAAATGGTACCCGTTCGTGACCTTCCTTATCGTTCGTAAAATCTCCATACTTTCGCTCACATGGCAAACAACAAATGCTTGTGATACAAATAAAAGGCTCAGTTTAAAATTGACAAAAACAGGAAAAAAGTATATAAAAACGGAAAGAATGTGAAATAGAACATTGCAACCAAAAACATAATTTATATGTACATTTTAAAATTAAGTGATATCTACCAAATACAATTTGTATGATCTGTTCAAAATCTCCAACAATATTAAATTCTTAATTTTTAAAGATTTCATAAATAAAAATACAACTTAATTTATTATACAAATGCACACACACGTACTCGCACACATACACGTCAAGATCTACATACACATTTTTCCTTTTTTTCTGATAAGTGTGATCGAGTAACACAATGTTAAATTACAAACGTCGAATCGGTATGTAGAAAGTGAAGGTACGATAGCTAGCGGTGGATCGATCTCAAAATTTCATATTTTGGGTAATGTTTTAACTGTATAAGGACTACACCTGGTATACGCTGCTAGTATAATACCTTTTGAACAGAAACCACTTATGTTTTAACCATGTAAGGATTACATCGGGTATACGCTTCTAGTATAATACTTTTTCAACATAAACCACTGATGCAGAGTCAATTGTATGTAGCACGTCTTAACCCTTTATTAAGATGTGCATGTGAATCGTTAGATTTCACAAACCTTTTTTTCCGCTTGCTTTAAGAATATGCTTCGTAGAGAAACCACGTATGAAAATTGTAATCTAGACTCAACAAATAGATGTACATTCCATCAGCTCTGTTTTAGTCTGTTAAGTACTTCCTTATTAAGATCATGAAAGCAGTAGGCCTATAACCTAGTTCCCCCTGAGAGTCAAAAGCGACGGCGGTGAACTCGTTGATCCAGTCAACTACAATGCCGAGATAAATAGCCAGCTTAGCGTGGATTAAATGGCTTTTGTATTTGTTTCATCATGTTGAAAGCTCTTAGACGTATTTGCATTTTCTCTCTCTCTCTCTCTCTCTCTTTACATATATATGTACATATAAATAATTATAAATTAAAGTGTGTGTGTTCGTGGTGTATATGTGTGTGTTTGTGTGTGTTACTTCGTTTTTTTGTGCATTCCTACACCTTCTACTTTGGGGAGTTGATCAAGATACTCAATTTCGGAGAAGCCAAAGGGAACTGATGTGATTTTTCTCTATATATTCGGTATTCAAAAAAAGTCGGATGCAGTTTTGAATTATTCATATGACTGTCATAAATCTTTTGGGGATTTTCAATCAGAATACTTTCGGGAAGAATTATATTTATGCTTATTGAAACTGTGGATCGCTATTAAAATTGTGTAAAGGTATTCAATGCATAACATGGTAACCCCCATTTTAATGCATACCTTTATAAAATAATTTTATGAAAACGTTTTTATGAATTTCTTTCACTAATTTTAAATTTTGAAAACAAAATATTACAAAAAGAATTGCGCACCAAACGAACGTAAATAATATTTTTACATAAATTGTGTATTAACATAAGTACTTTAAATAAGACAATTAATTAACTATTGTAAACATCACTAAGCATCTAATCTAAGTCCAATTGTATTGATCCGCATGCCAATTTTGAAAAGAATCTGTTCGTTGTCGAAACAACTTTATTTACTTCTAACTAGCATAAAATTTTAAGAGAGTTTCATCAATGCGTTACCAATCTTTTTTTTTAAATAAGATTTTTTAAAATCTGAATTATTTAAATGTAAAAAAAAAAATGCTAGCACTCTAGGCCTATTTCTTGGATCACATTTGTCGGGGCACGGGTTTACCTGCACTACCCAGGGCCGGCGCTACCAATAAGGCAAACTAGGCGGTCGCCTAGGGCGCTGTCCATAGGGGGCGCAAAAATGTAAAATCGCCATTATTAAAAAGTACGTAATAATTGATAACTTTGATTATATTATATCAACTATATACGATGGCGTAAAGATCTATTTAGTTGCCCAGGACGAACTATACAATTTGCGTCCTATCTTGCGCGTTGGTGAAAATGCGCCCCCACCTTCCTCATTTGAAAAGGTCGGGGCGCTTTTAAACCAGTATTTTTTTCCAGACGTTTTTCTTCGGGTGAACTTGAAAATTTCGGGACAGGGGACGGGATGGGGAGCGGACTCATATTTTCGGGGACGGACACTGTTAAAAGTATACATTTTCTATATAAATTCCATTTCGTTGGGGGGGGGGGGGGCGGTAGAGATGCCTGGAAGAAACAATTTTTAACAGTCACTTTGCCTTTTTATTTTGATGTTACATAATTGATGTAGAAAACAATTAAATAAGTCTGTAATGCCAAGAGGCAGTCCACATTCTTTATTTCGACTGTATAAAATTCAATAATGAGCTCTTTATATTATTACCTATCACGATTGCACCCCTTTTGGGTCGGCGCACAACGCAGGCTGTTTAGGGAAGGGGGGGGGGGGGGACAAAATCCGACACATTTTTTTTTTTTTGCACCTTGATAAAATAGTGGTTCTGTAAAACCAAAAACTAATCTATTGCAGCAGTGATTTTTCTACAGTAACTAAAACACACTGTTGCGTAGAGAAAACAAAACTATGTAAGTTGTAGTATGAAAAATATGCAAATCTTTAAACCACTTCCATTAATTTTTAGTTTTTTTACTAAGGGAATTAATAATAAAAAATTCTTCTCTTAAGAATTATTTAATTTAAGCATCCCGACGAATGAGTAAGCTATAAAAAGAGATAATTCCACATTATTAGTATAAAAGAAAAAAAAAAGACAAAAAAAAACAACAACAGAAAAAAAACGTGGGTAACCATTACACATATCAAGTTTTCTTGATTCATGGTCTTTGATCAACTTGCCAAAAAAGAAGGAACACTATTATTCATAATTTTCGTTGGGGGTAAATGAGAAATTTTAAAACTTGATTACTCCAGGCCAGAAATGAGTTCGAGCCTATCTCTGTGTGGTTTTTGTCTCGTGATGGACATACTTTACAATGAAAAGATTTAATTTAGAATTTAGCGAGACAGTCTTCTAATATATATAAACATACATATATATATATATAAATATACATATATATATATATATATTTATATATATATATATATATATATATATATATAAATATATATATATATATATATATATATATATATATATATATATATATATATATATATATACATACATATATATATATATATATATATATATATATATATATATATATATATATATATATATATATATATATATATACATATATATATATATATATATAAACATATATATATATATTTATATATATATATATATATATATATATATATATATATATATATATATATATATATATATATATATATATATATAAAGCAAAGTGGTGAAGTGCCCGATAGGGCACTTCCCGGCGCCGAAGGCGCGTCAAATTTGGCACAATTGTGCCTTGGGGCGATAGAACACGAGGGCCGGTGACGGTTGGCCGAAAAGTCTACGTAGAGGGGGTTGAAACTGACCTCGACTGACCGGCGCCTTATATGGGCTATATAAAGAAATAAAAATTTCCCCCTTGAAAATTCGGTAAATGGGTAAAAACTGACCAGTCGTATTTCCCTATAAAATCTTTGTATTTTATGGGAAAAACAGAGGGTGATTTCAAAACGGATTTTAGGGCACTTACCCACTTTACATCTGGCTAATGTTTTGCATGCTCTTAGGTAAATGGCTTGACCTTTAGGGAAAACTGTCGGTTTCACTCAAAGCCCTCGATGAGG